TTTCGATGACTGCGCCCTTAATGCAAATACTGATTGAAACATGCAAGGGAACATGGACCTCTTCTCCGCCGCCTGCGACAAATTCGATCCAATCATCAACACGGAGAAGACGATGGTCATACACCAATCGCCATCCAACACTGCCCACAACGCGCCACAAATCAGCGTGAACGGAACTCAATTGCAAGTGGTGGACAACTTCACTTACCTGGGCAGCATTCTATTCCGCAGCACCAATGCCGACGATGAAGTGTCCCGCTCATTTCCGAGGCCAGTCAAGTCTTCGGTCGTCTTCAAAACACAATTTGGTATCGTCACAGTCTTCAACTCAGCATGAAATTGAAGATGTACAAAGCTGTCATCTCAACGGCGTTGCTGTATGGAGCAGACCTGGACGGTATTGGAGGCAGGCACGTAGACTCAATCATTTCCACCTCATTTGTTTTCGTAAAATACTGAGGCTGAGGTGGTAGGACCGGATCCCAGGCATGGACATACTGTAGCGGACGAGGATTTTCAGTATCTAGGCTATGACGAAACAACTACAACTACGTTAGAGCGGTCATCACGTACGGATGAACGACGAGAGGCTACCCAGACGAGTATTATATGGGGATGTCGGGACGTGTTCGTGCCGACAAGGAGGTCAAGTCCGGCGCTATAAGGATACCCTGAAAACCTCACTGAAGCGCCTGCATATCAACCCGACAAAATGGGAAGACCTCTCCGGAGACCGGCCTACGTGGGGGAGAACGGTGAATACAAACGCAGCAATCTTCGAAGCCAACCGCATGACTGCCGCCAAAGCCAAACGGGAGACACGCAAATCTCAACTGCCGCCGCCCCACAACGTCAACGCCCAACCGCCTCCAACGTGTCCACTATGTCTCCGGACATTCGGGGCACCAGCTGGACTTGTTGGATACTTTTGGGCCAAACTAAAGCCGATACTGACAACGCTGAATTCTCATGTCTACACAACCTCCGTAAATTCACCTCATGCATCTGCCTGGTCGGTCGCTTGCGATTTCATCGCAAAAAGACTGGCGAACCAATGCCTGGAGCACCAAACTACGCTCGCCGTATCCGCCTCCACTTTCCACAATACACCGAAAATTCATGCACCGCATGACCACATGCGCGTCCACGAAAAACTGAGGTAGACAAAGGCAGGCTGCATCACACCATCACACCATCTCCCAGAAGCCTCTCACCGCACATCAACATCACCAACCGCAAGCACCCAACTGCCACTTCCCACGCAAGTGGGAAGTGTGCGTCTCGTCCCCGTCTCAATGCGTCTCCTTTGCTGCATAGGTGATCGGAGTCTGAAACGAAGACGGTGGGTTGAGTGGCCTGGCTCGGAAGGCAGCCAATTGACGTTCTAAATCAGTCCACACAGTCTGCCCAGTTGTGTGTGTTGTGTGGAGTGACGGACTGGTGGGCTGAGAGCCGGGTTGTCACGGCGCCTTCTCGAGCGATCTGTGACACTCTCATGTATGTAAGGAGTGTGTGTACTTTATGGGAGTCCCTCCCAATCGACGACTGTTTGGTTACCCAAACGGCCCAGGCTAAATACAGGGTGAAAATGTCTGAAGGCGTATGCTATGCAGTATCAGAAACAATGGTCCTTGCAGCCTGCTTCCTTGTCGGTAGATGCGCTTGCGCTCCCGCTGGGTATACAGGTGGTGGGCATGGCTGCCAGTAATCCTCCTCCTTCTGACCCCTGTTAGAGTGTCGTTGTTAGTCAAGTGTCTGTTAGGAGCCAGGGGGTGCGTTGGCGCGCCTGAGTGCGGACCCGTCTATGCCAGCCAGCTACGCCCTCCTCCACCGCCGGTCTTCTTGACATTGTCTTAACACCGGTCCAGGTGGAGAGTGGGGAAGAGAGAGTGCGGTAGATTTTGCGCAGGTCATTATAAACTACTTCACGCCAAAGTCACCTTGCCCGCCGCTCGTTGATATATATCACACGGTGGACATCCTCGGAGTCAATGGTCGAACTTTTGGGTTATCCTCTGTTAGGTGGCATACCATCTTATCTTTGATCAATGCCTCTGATATTTTAGAAATTGCTTGGAGTGTGTTTATTGGCCGGAAGCCATCAAATGACGTATATTGGCCATGCTTAGGAATAGGCAGAATGTGTGATTCCTTTCACAAAGTGGAATAGGTTTCACTTTGAAGAGCGAGATTAAATATCTTGTGCAAGAAGGATGAGAAAACATAATTTGCGTCCGCTTTTAAAATAAGAACTAAGACTTAATCAGTTCCAGGGCTATGAGACTGACGAAAACGGCGAATCGCTACAGTCACGTCCCACAGGCTGAAAGTTATAGCTATAAAGTTTCGAATTCCAATCGCGATCATTGTATAGGTCACTTAGGTCCTACCATAGTCATAAGTATGACTTTGCTTCATCATGATAATTGGAACATTTTGCGTTTACAGCTCTGGTCAGTAGGCCGATATAAGCGCTAACAATTGCCAAGTATCATAAGGTCGAAACATGTCCTTGTGTTTGGTCCACATTTTCAGCAATGTTTACTAGGAAAGTGTAGTAGTTCGAACTTTCATCGGGTTGGTCCCGCGCGTATGTATAATGATGACGAATAGGTCTAGAACAGATTAACGAGGCGGCCAGAAAAGCGATACACCCGAGGCTACTATCCGCAAACCCTCGCCCAAATCGTGAAAATATTACGAAACCTATGGACTTCTGGATATATTTGGCAGTTTTCTAAAATATTGAGTTTGTTAGGAAGTTTCCGAATTTACCTTTTACTGGGCTGGCAATCATACGCACAAATAGAATAGATCTGTGGCATCCTACCGCTTAGCTATTGTGATTGGACGTCAATGTCCCAGACTGAGCGCGTTGGGGAAGAGGCGTCCGCCGAGGTTCAGCGGTTGCTTCGCGAAAGATACAAGCACATTCTCGAAATAAATGAAAAGACTCGAGAACGGCTTACAGGTTTAGCAGCTGGCTTGAAGAGGGGCCTTGATGCTGACGATCCGTCCGTTCTTAAGTCTGTCATATCTGGCCACATTACACGCAATTTTAATTCTATGGCTGTTATGAAATTGCCATCTTTTCCATTGCCTACACCCGAAGAAACTACCGTCCACAACGTTATGGATAGTTGCGTTTTTAAGTCTGTCATCAGTTGCTTTGGAGGCAATCATTTCGTTTTATTTTTATCGCCCGTTAAGGTCTTGTTATTGGCGGTGTTTTCGGCCTCTTTACAGCAAGCATTGATCCCCTTAGCACGGTAACAACGACAGAGAATGTTACCACCAAGGCTGTTGCCAAAGAAATGTATGCCCGTTCAATTTCTTATGGGAAAAACTTTGCCGTTATCGGTACCTTATTCGCTGGAACAGAGTGCGTTATTGAAAGTGTAATAAAAATTGCATTTATATGACGACATTAAGTGCCGAGGAAAATCAGACCTTCTAAACAGCGCCTTGACCGGATCTATAGTCGGTGGAGCAATTGGACTCCGGGGTTTGCTTGTTTATTGCGGTCTTACTTTATTACAGCTGGACTACAAGCTGGGTTGGCTGGAGCAGCTGGATTTGCCGCCTTTTCAACAATAATCGATTATTATTTTAGACACTCTTCTTAGATATTTTGAAAATATAACTAACTTCCCAAACTACGCTTTTGAAAATATTCACTTTCCGCAATGATCCCGCCTCATTACCTAGGTGTTTCTTTAGATGGCTCCCAGTAAAAGTCAGTCTCCAAGTGGCAGGTCAAGATCCCATCGGAATGAGTATAAGCACTCCACCCGCGATGACAATTCTCATCATTCTTCGAAACATTCCCACAAAAGCCGGCATTCGTCCCCCCGCTCACAAAGGAAGCATCATTCTCATGCGAAGCATAAAAAGCAGCGCCGGCGGTCCGATTCATCCTCAAGTTCTAGTAGGTCTCGCAGTCCCGCCACAAAGGATCAAAAGTCTGATACTGCCCCCACATTGTCCTCCCTTTCGATAGAAGAAATCCAGAAACTAAAAGAAGAGGCAAAACAAAAAAAGGTGTGCCTCTTGTATTTGGAGGCGTTTTCCTATTTTCCAAACTCAGTTAAATACAAGCCCTCCCAGACAGTTCTTCCCATCGCCACTAGTCAGTTTGCAACTTTAACAGGTTTCTTTAGGGTCTTAGCTTCAAATCAGTGCTGGGTTCTACCGTTTCTGTGCATATAATCCCTTGCCTCTACCGGTTTCGTCTTTTCATGCCTGTTGTGCAAGTGGTAACCTTCCACAACGGACTCTTCACTACATCACTCGTTAGCTCTACTAGCTTATCTTTATCATCTCCTACCAGGTTTAACTTCTCCGGCATACATGTCGGATATCTGCATTTACACAGTCAGATTTATCAAGTCTGCTCGCGATCTTTAAGCTACAGGTACTGCTCTTCGGTTTACAAACTCGCGTTTCGGAAACGATTATTAACAAATATTTTAGTTATCCATTCAGCTGCCCGCCTTACTGAACTGCATTTATTGCCGTTCTCTTATGAGACTTAAACGGTAATGCCACCTGTTCTACCAGATCGCAATAAATTAGGGAAGTCTAGAAGCGATTCGAACTCCCAGTCTGCTTTCTAACCTGTGCGTTCCAACAGACATGCCTTGTCTATTTCATCAATTCCGGTAGATTTTAGACAAAATATGTCTACGTCTACTCAAGACTTTCACTTCCGGAGACCCTAGTACAGTTTTCCAGCACCCACGTACGCTTTTTACTGACTAAACATGGGCGTTTATTTTAGGCTTTGATGAAACTTCTTGAAACTCCAGAGGAAAAGCGCGCCCGTAGGCTTGCAAAAAAAGAAGCAAAAGA